ACAACTTCTGCTCGACCAACAAGAGAGAAACCCCATAGACACAGGGGGGAGAGACAGAGACATGGCACCATGGCAACCCCACCCCAGCTTTGACCTGCAGTGGGCAGGGGTCCCTGAGGGTGTATGTGCAGATGCGCCCACTCTGGGTAAAGTGAAAAACAGTGGCTGAAAGGGCACCTAGACTATAAGGAGGGAAATCCATTTACTAACCGAGAACATCTGCAAGTGGGAGGGGAACTGCAGGAACCAACTGTGGTGTCAGGGGCATTGAACAGAGCCAGTCATTCATTGACACTCTCCCTCCCCTTAGGTCTCATGGGAAGGACATAATTCAGGTGCTTCAGCCTCCCAAACTTGGTGGTCAGCGTGCAAACAAGGCACAGTCCCCAGGCCCCAGGCCCATACCAGCTCTGTGGCTTGTCCCCAGGACTTCCACTCCCACTGCAGTTCCAGCTCAGAGCCCCTTTCCCCCAGGGCTCCCCATGGCCCACTCCCACTGCAGCTCCGGCTAGCCTGCTAAAGACACCTGGCTCACACAGTCTACAGAGGAGAGGCTCCTAAAAAAGTCTCTCCTTCAAGACTGGGAGAGGTCACTGTTTCACCTGATTCATAGAAACAAACACAGAAAGACAGCCACAACGAGAGACAGACAAATGTACTCCAAAGAAAGGATCAGGAAACATAAACAAACAAATAAGAACTACTAGTAAATGAATAAGACATAAGCAATTTACCCGATAAAAAGTCAACAGTAAACACTAGTTCTAAGTATGCACAATGAACTCAGGAGAAGAACAGATGAATTCAGTGAGAACTTCAACAAAAACATAGAAAAATATGTAAAACAACCAATCAGAACTGAGGAATATGATAATTGAAATGAAAATAAAAATACTCCAGAGGGAACAACAGCAGATTAGTTGAGGCAGGAGAATGAGTCAGCAAGCTGAAAGACAAGGTAGTGAAAGTCAATAAGAACAGCAAAAAGAAAAAAAATATTATTATCACAAATGAGGTTAGTTTAAGGGACCTGTGGGGCAACATCAAGTGTGGCAACATTTAAATCATTGGATTCCCAGAAGGAGAAGAGAGAGAGAAAGGAATGTAAAATCTATTTAAAGGGATAATGACTGAAAACTTCCCCAACCTGGTGAGGAAAACAGACATCCAAATTCAGAAAGCACAGAGACTTCTGAACAACATGAACCCAAAGAGGCCCATATCAAGACACATCATATTTAAAATGCCAAAAGTTAAAGGATCTTAATGGCAGCAAGAGAAAAACAGTTAGCTATGTACACGGGATACTTCATAAGATCATCAGCTGATTTTTCAGCAGATACGGTAATAGCACAAAATATTCAAAGTGATGAAAGGCGGAAACCTACAACCAAGTATATCCTATCCAGAAAAGTTAGCATCAGAATTAAAGTAGTGATAAAGAGTTTCCAAGACGAGCAAATAATGAAAGAGTTCTCACCACTAAACAAGCATTAAAAGAAAAGTTAAGGAACCTTCTTTAAATGGAAAATACCAAAACTAAAAACAAGAAAATATTGGAAAGAAAAATTTTGCACTGATGAAGGCAAACCGTTGTAAGTGTAGCAGATCAACCAATTATAGAGCTAGAAGGAAGATTAACATAAAAAAGTGGTAAAAGCATGTGTAACACAGTAATAATACATTAAGGGATACACACACAAGAGAAGATGTAAAATATGATGTCAAATACATAAACATGGTGGTGAGTAAAAAATGTAGTTTTAGAATACATTTGAGCTTAACAACAATCAACTTAAAAAACATTGCTATAAATCTTATGGCAACCCAAAACCAAAAATCTATAATAGATACAGTTAGAAATGAAGAAGAAGAACCAAAACAAACATTAAGAAAATAATTAATGTACAAGAAAAGAGGGCAAGAGCTATAGCTGGTTTTGCTCAGTGGATAGAGCATTGGACTGAAGGGTCCCAGGTTTCATACCAGTCAATGGTGACCACAGTTGCAGGCTCCTCCCTGGCTCAGACCCAGTTTGGGCTTGTGCAGGAGGCAACCCAATCAATATGGTTCTCTCACATCGATATTTCTCTCTGTCTTTCCCTCTCTCTTCCACTCTCTCTGAAAATCAATGCGAAAATATCCTTGAGTGAAGATTTTAAAAAACAAAAGAGAGTAAGAGAAGAAGAAAGTAACAGAAAAGAACTACAAAAGCAACCAGAAAACAATTAATAAAATGGCAATAAGTACACACCTATCAATAATTACTTTATGTGTAAATGAACTAAATATTACAATCAAAAGACAGGGTGACTGGATGGATTCAAAAACAAGACCTGTGCATATGCTGCCTATAAGAGTCTCATTCAGTTTGAAAGACACAAACAGACAAAAAGTGAAGAGATGGAAAAAGGTATTTCATGCAAATGAAAATGAAAGCTGCAGTAGCGATAGTTATGTCAAACAAAATAGACTTTAAAACAAAAACTATAATAAGAGACAAAAAGGGCATTACATAATGATAAATGGATAAATCTAACAAAAGAACAAAACATTTGTGGGGAGAAACCAAGATGGCGTCATAGGTAAACACCGGAGATTGCTGCCTCACACAACCACTTCAAAAATACAACTAAAGACGGAACAGACATCATCCAGAACCACAGGAAGACTGGCTGAGTGGAAATTCTACAACTAGAAGGAAAGAGAAAAGCATACCAAGACTCAGAGGAGGTGCAGTGCGGAAGTAAAATACAAAGGTGTGGAGGTGCATGTGGAGAGGGCTGGCGGCTGAGGACACAATTGTCTTTTTCAATCGGGAGGGAGTCTCAGGCTCTGAGCTCCAGTTCCGGGCGAGTCTCTGGGGACCCAGACTCATATGGGAGAAACGGGACTGTCTGGCATCGGTTGGAACTCGAGGACAGCTTTCTCTCAGAGGCACTCGAAGCGATTGCCAGGACCTCTGAAGGCAGGACTGAGAGCAGCCATACTGCTAGCTCCGCCCACCGTGTTGACCCCCTGGGACCCCGCCCTGCCCAAGCCCTGCAGGGAGGCTTTTGCATATGAAAGGCCCGGCCCTTTGTAATCTGAAAATTACTTAAACTGAAGCTGCCCCAAGGCCCCAGGGCAACTTGCATTGCTTTACACCTAAAATAACAAGAAAAAGAAAAACAAACAAAGCCTAAAGTGACTACAAGGAACGAAATATAAAGATCAGAGCAGAAATAAATAAAATAGAGACTAAAAGGATAATAGAAGATATCAATGAAACTAGGAGCTGGTTCTTTGAATAGATAAACAAAATACATAAAACTTTAGCCAGACTCATTAAGAAAAAAAGAGAGAAGACCTAAATAAATAAAATGAGGAACAAAAAATGGAAAGTGACAAGCAACTTCACAGAAATACAAAAGATTATAAGAAAATTAGAGGCCCAGTGCACAAAATTAATGCATGTGTAGGGTCCCTAGTGGCTGTTAGCTGCCAGCCAGGGCCTTCCTTCATTCCGCACAGCCCCCTGGTGGTCAGCACATGTTATAGCGAGCAATCCAACTCCTGGTCAGTCAAACTCCCAAGGGGACAGTTTGCATATTAGGCATATATATATATATATCTCATGAACATTTATATGCCAACAATTGGACAACCTAGGAGAAATGAATAAATTCATTTCAATAAACAATAAACTTCCAAGAGTAAATCTGGAAGAAACATAAAATTTGAACAGACTGATCACTAAAGTCAAAATTGAATCAGAAAAGAAAAATTTCCAATAAACAAAAATCTAGGGCCAGATGGCTTGAC